TTTTCTTTGCTCCCTTACGGAGGTAGGAAAGAAAAGTGGAGAGAATTATTCAGAGAAGGAATTATCATCACGTGTCTTTTTAAGGGAATATATAAATTTGTGGAGAATATTTCCTCTTAAAGGGCCAAGAATATTGGATTTAAAACAAAAATGTTTTTAAATGTTTATCATTAGCGATTATAATCTCAATTTGTTTTTGGAAAAAAAGTTACTAGTATGACTGAGACAAAGTGTCCTTTGATTTTAAGCAAAGAAACTCTTAGACCTTTGTGGATTAGGTGGTGAAAGGGGACTTGAATAATACTGGGGTCAATGGCAAATTCTTTTGAACCCATAGGATATATTAGCAAGTATCTATTTAGTCACTTGACCACTGCCTGCCTCCCGTTTTCCCATCTGCAAAATGGAAACAATAGCACCTACCTTCCAGGGATGTTGTAAGGGTCAAGTGAGTTAATATTTGTAAAGTGCTTTCAGCCAAACACTAGGGATGAGGATGCAAAGAGAAAACTGTGTAGGCTGCTAGAATTAAAATGCTTAATGAATGGTTTGGCCTAGAGATAAATACTTCTATTTTATATATTTTATTTCCCCTAGCTATTATTCAATTCAAATGTACCCCTTCTTTGAGTCCTGAACTTTTATTTAGTTTCCTGACCTAGTAGTCATCCCCTCTCTCAGAAGTGTTATTTTCTTTCAATTTTTTTTTACTTGTTCCTTGTGGTCCTCCTACAAATGAGTTCAACTTGGGTTCTCCACTTTGTGTTCTTTATAATCACTCCATTCACATTATCCTTCATTTCTACTCTTCAGGGATGACCTCTATGCAAAGGACTCTTGCCCATCTGTACCTCAGGCCTTGACCTTTCTCCTGACCTTTGGACTCTCCACTTCTCTGCCTACAGAACATAACCATCTAACTGTCCTATTGGTACCTCAAGCTCAACATAGAGGATGCATGGGGTAGGACACAGATGGATCCCTGCCTGCCTGCTGCATATTGACTTAGAAAACCACAAATCAACATTATCTATGTTTAGTTGTATTTTTATTTTGTTAAGTATTTTCCGGTTTCATTTTAATCTGGTTTGGGGTCCATTCAAGAGTGTTGCTGCCATGCATCTGACACCTCTGGTGTCAGTGTTTTACTTTTACTCAAGAAGACCTGAGTTCAGATCCTGCCTCAGACACTTACTAAAGGTGAGGCTTAGTTTCCTAAAAATAAGGAGTGATAGGATCGTAGATTAGAGCTGGAGAGGAGACTTTAAAAGCGATGGACTTGACCACTAAGGTCCTTTCCAGTTCTAAATCTATGCTATGTATGAACAAAACTTACCTTTTTCCCCTTAGTATGTTCCTCCTATAATTTTTAAATTTCTTTCAATTATATCATTCATTCAATCTCCCCACCACTTCCAGGAAGTCTTCCTTAATATCTGTCCTCAGTAATGAAACATTTCCTCCCCTCAGGTTTTACCTAGTGTAGATGTTTTGGTGTAGTTTTAAGGTACATTAAGACTTTGGGAATGCTTCTGTACTTTGTACCACTCATATAAAATATTATTGAAATACATGATAAATATTTGCTCCCTATTAGACTGTAAATCCTAGGAGATTGGAAACTATGCCTTATTTAAACTGTATCTCGCTAAGCACCTAGTTATTGTTGGAATTTTAACCTAAATTTAAGGTTAACAAATACTTGTTGGTTGATTGTTTGAATCTGAGAGGTGCTCTCTAGTACCAAGCCACAGGACTATATTTTTGACCACTTTTTTTTTTAATTAGTGACTTGGCTGAGACAAGGAAATGATTCTTATCAAATCTGTAGATGAAACAAAAGTGGGAGAGACAGCAAATATGATTAGCAGCAAGACTCAAAACTATCTGGACAGGCTAAAACTCTGGGCTAAAATCAAGATTATATATATCCCTAATGAAATTTCAAGTCCTGAATTTCAATTGAAAAAAAAAATCAATTGTACCAGGCTGCTGTGGAAGATACCTACCTTGGCAGCATCTCACATGGGCTCTTAGTGACATCACCAAGCCTGGTGGACAAGGGTCTAATTTGGAACATAGCAAGCCAAGTTCCTCTCTCCTCTCCACCCCACCCCCTTAAATAATGCTTCTTCCATGTACTCCCTTCCCTTTAATTAAATTCCTCATGGCATGGGGCAGTTTGTAGTTATTAACTGAAAAGTTTTGTAGAGAATAGGACAAGCTGAAGAGGGGACAACTGACCCATGGAGAGGGTGGGGGCTAAGCAGGCACCTGGGGCCCTGCTCCAGAAAGTCCCCCAGGTACTGTCTTCTTTGGCACTGACTGACCACCCAGTCAGTCAACGGGCAGTTGTTAAACACCTACTATGTGCAAGGCACCTTAGTAAGCACTAGAAATACAAAGAAAAGCAAAAGACAGTTCTTGTTCTCAAAGAGTCTAAAGGAGGAGATAACATGATAACAACTGTATTACAAATAAGATATGTACAAAGAAGGTAAATTGGAATAATCAATAGAGGGAAGGCACTAGAATTAAGGGAGATTGGGAAAGGCTTCTTGTAGAAGGTAGAATTTTTAGCTGAGACTTGAAGAAGGTGAGGAGACAGAGATGGGGATGAGGAAGGAGAACAGCCAGGCATGGGGCACAACCAGTGAAATGTCCAGTCAGGATGTCTTATATTGGTTCCCACCCAGTACATACAAAGCACTGTCCCAGGCCTCAAGAGAAAGAGTAACATCTTTGTCTTTTGCTAACCTTTTCCAAGGAAGGAGATGTGTGTTGTGTGGGTGCAGAAGCATCAGGTTCTATTTGTGGCAAGTAGACAAGAAGATGATAGGAACTTGGAGGGATCTTGGACTATCTAGCATAATTCTTCCATTTTATAAAAACAACAGCAGCTCACATTTTGTAAAAAACAAAACAAAACAAAACACTGCTGTACACTGCTGTACGTTAACTCATTTGATCTCATAATACTGGAATTCAAATACAGCCTTGGACATTTACTAGCTTTGTGGAACCCTGGGTAAATCACTAAACCACTGTCTGCCTCAGTTTCCTTGAGTATAAAATGGGGATGATAATAGCACCTATCTCCCAGGGTTGTGAGGATCAAATGAGATAATATTTGTAATGGCCAGTATATAGTAGGTGCTTAACAAATCAAGCTTGTTCCCTTTTCTTCCCCTGTAGAAGTAGCTAAGTATTATTGTTCCTATTTTACTGATACAGAAGAAGATGGAAAGGACCACTTGTCCAAAGTCACAGTAGTTAATCACAGAGCCCAAATTCAAACCTAGCTCTTCTGCCTCCAAATTCCTGTACTTCAGTGGTAATTTTAAAAACATTTTCTTTTGAGGGGGGTTAATTATTTCCCTCCCTCACCCAACTCCTCCCTTAGGTCTGCCCTTTGGGCTGCTTGTTCCCTAGTTTGATCCACTGTCTTTTCAGGTCTTATTGATATAGGTGTGCCCTGTCTCTTTTACTTTTTAGAGTGAGAGGTCCCCTAGGGCAGGGACCTTCTTTTCTAGTTCCTCTGGCTTCTCCTCTGAGCCCTGCCTCACCCTTGACTCGGAGTTCCCTGGGCTGAAGCCTGCACCTAGAGTGATCCAAGAGCATGCACACACACACACACACACACACACACACACACACACACACACACACACACACACACATATGCTGGTGTCTCAGAGCTAGCTCTGAAAGGAAGTGGGAGGACTCTATTAATCTCCCATTGAATAAGTCAAAATAAGAATTCCCTAGCTCTGAGGCTAGGGGCCTAAAACTTGATGACCTCATTATAAAGGAGTCGTTTCCTACTAGGTCCTACCCAGGTTATCCCTACCCCAGCCTCACCTTTTCTTCATTGTGCTAATTTCCTTACCTCATCTGAACTATATTCCCAGTGACTCCCTTTACTTCTTTCTGTCTCTTCCTCTCCCTCCCTTCCTCTCTCTCCCCCTTCTCTCTCTCTTTCTCTGTTTCTCTCTCTTCCTCTCACTCTGTCTCTATCTCTGTCTCTCTGTGTCTCTGTTTCTCTCCTCCTTTCCCTCTCCTTTGTAATCTCTCTCTCTCTCTCTCTCTCTCTCTCTCTCTCTCTCTCTCTCTCTGTCTCTCTCTCTCTCTGTCTCTCTCTTTCTCTGTTTCTCTCTCTTCCTCTCACTCTGTCTCTATCTCTGTCTCTCTGTGTGTCTCTGTTTCTCTCCTCCTTTCCCTCTCCTTTGTAATCTCTCTCACTCTCTCTCTCTGTCTGTCTCTTTCTCTCTGTCTCTCTCTCTCTCTGTCTCTGTGTCTGTCTCTCTCTCTTTGTCTCTGTCTCTCCCTGGCTGTTCAGGTGTCTTTAGAAGCATCACTAGAGAGGGAGGGGGGTGGACTGGCATACTTTTTTTTTTCTTGCTGGTTTTGGGTCCAGGGCTCAAGAGGTTCTGAATGTCAGTAGGGTTTTAGTGAGCCAGCAGCAACAGTTCCCAGAATTATGGAGGATATTGATAAAAGGGGCAGAAGTCTTTCATATCTGTGTCTGACTAACCTGCCTTTGTAAGTGAGTATTATATGAAGGGGATAGGCCTTTTTCTGAAACTGTATGATGGAAATTTTGGGAAGAGGAGAGTGATGAGCATAGGAGATCCAAGAAAAAGGTTAGATACCATTCAGAGTAAGTCTCAGTGACCTTCTAAAGATCAGGAGGTAGTAGAAAGTGGGAGACCAGATTTGGAGTCAGAGGATCTGGGTTCAAATCCTGTTTCTGCAACCTCACTACCTGTTATTTTGGGCAACATCTTTAGCCTTCCTATACCTCAGTCTTCTTATCTGTAAAACGAGGGAATTGGCCTGTTTCTTCTAAGGGACCTTCCAAGTTTAGACCTCTGATACTATGACCTTTCTAATACATTGTGATATGGCTATATTGTGTTCTCCTGGCCATGAGAACCCAGGTCAGGAGAATTCCATGGAATTGTTTCCCCTCTCATCTCTTAAGTCCTATAAAAACTCACTTGTCTGGGTCCTCAGAGCCGTTTTGGCATTTTCAGCTTTGTTTCTGGGTATGTCTCTTCTTGTCAGGTGAGCATATGTCTGGATCTTCTTCCCTTAGATACTTTCCAGACCCTTTGTACCAAAGGTGGCAGGCTTCTAGCCAGCAACTAGGAAGTCTTGGAAGTTTGATGGCTGCAAAAGGCGGTACAGCTATTATCTTTTCTCCTCTCCTGGTGAGGTATGTTGAGCTGGAAGAAAAGTTATCATAGACTTAGAGATAGAAGAGATGGCAGAGGTCTTGTTGAAGTATATCATTATAGAGGTGAAGAAACTGAAACCCAGAGAGTCTGGTCAAAGTTCCCAGAGGCACTGAGAGGTTAAGTGGTTTTCCCTTGGTCACCAACAGGGGACTGAACCCAGGCCTTCCTGACTCTAGAACTTGGATGCTTCTCATCTATCCAGAGTCAATAGATTAGTAGTCATTGATTACAAAAATAACCTTTTTGGCAAGACTTGATACATGTATGTGGATCCTTAGATCCCTTCTCAGCTTCATGGAAGGGTTTGCCCACCAGGTGGGAATTGTTAACCTGATCGAACCACTATCCTTTACATTTTATAAATAGAGAAAATGAGGCCTACGGAAGGGAAGTAACTATAAGGATGGAAACAAACATTTATTAAATGCCTACCATGGCACTACTAAGTAGCCAGATGGGCAGCTAAGCAGCACAGTGGATAGAGTTGTCAGGCCTGGAGTCAGGAAAATTCATTCTCCTGAGTTCAGATGGACCTCAGACATTTACTAGCTGTGTGACCCTGGGCAAGTCACTTAACCCTGTTTACCTCAGTTACCTCATCTTTAAAATTAAGTGGAGAAGGAAATGGAAAACCACTCCAGTATCTTTGTAGGGAAAACCCCAAATGGGGTCATGAAGAGTCAGTTATGACTCAACAACAACAAAAACAGCATGTGCCAGATACTATGCTGAGATTAAATGACTTGCCCAGGGTCACATAGCTAGTAAGTTTCTGAGGCTGGATTTGAACTCAAGTTTCCTTGACTCCAAGTGTGGCATTATATCCACTAGATCCACCTAGTGGCCTCTCTACACAAGAAGAAATGAGAAAATTGGAATTCCAACTTATCATCCGACTACAAATTCACTATTCTTTCCTATCTAGAGCAGAGTGAAATGCCTTATGAAAACCAACATCAGTTTGTGGTGGAGGGGCCAGAGAGATTTAGCTCAAAAAAAGGAAGCATGCAGATGTGATATTAATGGTGTCGACCTGAAAGTTGGTTAAAGAGACAAGAAGCTAGGTGATAAGTAAATTCATATTGTTTTATTCCTTATTCCCTTAAGTAGCACATGTACATGGAATCAGAGCTTTAACTCTGATTCACTCAAGCAATTTTAGGAGGACATTTAAACCCTGACTCAGGATGTCTGTATTACTAAAAAAAAAAAATACAGCCTCCATGTGTTTTTTAACATATAGCATGGCAAAAGAAGTTTCTTAGTTGAATAGGTTGTCAAAGTATCAATTGAAATTATAGATCCAGGATATCTGTGTTTCCCCTACATAACATATGTCCATAGGATACAATGATAGGAAAAGTCCCACTATTCAAGAGATTCTCTGGTCCCAGGTGTCCTGTCCTTAGTGATCACAAACAGGAAGAATGCTGGTCAGTTCCATCTGGTCCTGTAGTTGCTGACACAGGAAGGGGCATTTTTAGTTCACTCAGAGAGAAAAGATTATTTCAGGTTTTTGGCCCTTATTGGGGCTCAATTGATCTTAAATGATTATCAATGGAAAGAGATACCAGTCAACAAGATTTTAATAAGCATGAGAATAAATCATGATGTCTGTCTTCAAACATCTGAAGGACTGTCCTGTGGGGGAGAGACTTGACTTGCTTTGTTTGATCCCAGAGGACAAAAACCTTTGTATAAACAATGGGGAGAATATTCAAGTGGTCCGATTCAGGTTTGATGGGAGCAGGGCGGTGGAGGTTAGGGGGAGGGGGTACTATGACTCCTGAACAATTAGAGGTATTCAAAAGTGGAACAGACTGCCTACAGTTGGGGTGGGTGCCCCTCAAGCAGAAACTAGATGATCACTTGTTGGGTATGTAATAATGGGAATTCCTGTCATATATGGGGGACAAGATAGCTGCTGAGGTCCTTCGCAATTGTCAAATTTTGTGATTCTGTGTTTCCCTTTGAGATTCCCTAGAGAGTTAGTTGCCCGTGTGTCTAAGGAGGAGGGAATGCCTTAGCCAGTTGGCTGTATTCAACTGCCACCTCCTTCAGGGAGGACACTGTATTTTAGCACTTGACACCATTCCATCTCAGCTGTGTGTGTCTGTCTGTCCCTCCTCTTTGAATCTTTGAGTGAGAAAGAGCCAAGCCAGGATCCTCCTGCTGGCTATGCCTTAATGGCAGTTTGTAGGAAGGAGATAGGGCTGTTGTGGCCCTGGGGGCATGGTTTCCACAAGCAAGCACTGTTTGGGGGCCACAACCTCTTTCCTGCCTCCCAGTGGCTACCGATGCTGAGATTACCTAATCCTTTTTAGGCTTCCTCATTCCCCCCTCCATCTTGCTTTCTCTAAGGCTGCTGCTCAGCCCTTCTGGAATGGAGGTTGCTACTTCTTGGGCTTCAACTGTCATAGGGCTAATGTAGTAGGAAGCAGCTGTGCTGGAGATACTATTAAATTCATGAGTATCTATCTCCATGTGTTTAGTTCCTTTCTGTGTTATGACATTACTTTAATATAAATAGCTGGAGTTTATATACCACTTTGAATGGGATGTCCCAGTGAAGACTCCTCAGTGTAATTAAGATTTGGTATAAGGCTGAGTGGGATAAGGGTTCCTGTGAATATTTCTCAGAAGAATAAATAGAAATTGTATTAGACTCAAGGCAGGCATAGTAGCCTGACAGGCCTAAGTTTTAGTTTACTAAAAATCACCTGAGTTATGGGAGTCTAGCCCCAAGTACCCCCTTCTATGCCATTGTTATTTCAGTAGTTAAAGTTTGCCAAGCCTGAAACTTCTGAAAACCCCCCCTGCATCATATTGCTACAAGTATTGCTATACTTTAGTCATGGTGACCTTGCTACACAGTACAGTGTTTAGCTTGACTGCACATTTTTAATTGCTTTTTTGGTAATTTTTCAACAAACTAAGGGTTAAATATGGATATCTATAATTTGTAACTGAGATATGCATACTGCTTATTGTTGTTTGTTCCTATGGTAAAGTTTCATGTTGAGATTGTGAGCCAAAACATTGGCCAGTTGGTGGGAGGGGGGGCTTTACCCGTTAGTGATATTTAATCAGGTCCTTTGCTCCTGTACATCAGGGCATCCTGGTGGAGGGACACCCAAATCTCGAGATTTGAAATAATAATAAATTAAATTTCTGTTTCTCCTCAGATACCTCTGTGTTTTTTAATTTGAGTGGCATCCCACACAGCTTCAAGATTGCAAAGCGCTTTATATCCATCATCTCAGATATGATTTTTAGGGAGCATCCAGAAGGGAGGCATGACCAAGAAGTCATGATTTTTTATTTTAATGTACATTTAGAGGTGGGGAGCTTAATTTAGGGTGTTTCTCCTGTTCATTTATCCTTTTTACCATTCTCTTCTCTCTCTTGACTCTCTTCCCTGGTTTCACTAGGCCCAAGCTTCTTTTATAGTTTATTGGTCACCTTGGAAACCTGGCCTAGTCAGGACACTTACACCATCTTAGAAGTGGACATTCTGAGGCTTTGTAGCGAATGTTATAAGCTTAATAGCTACTGGTCTTTTGTTGTTGTTTCTTTCTCCCTGATGGTAAGGCTCGAAACTCTTCGGACATGCTGAGAGGAAAACATTTCAAATGCCGTTTAAGTCCCTTCTCGTCTCTTCTCTGCCGTCCTAAACACATATTAACTTCCCTGGGCCTCAGTTTCCTCACCTGTAAAATGAGGTACCTGGATTCAGTGGCCAGTATTCAAAATAGGACTCAAATTCCAGTTTGGGTAAAAGAACAGTATTTAAAAAAGAGAAAGATATTATATTTAAACGCTTTATAGCCAAAGGTTGGGGGTGGGGTTCAGCAGCTTTTATTCCTTGCTTTTTTTTTCCCATTTCTTTGCTTTCTATGATTTCCCAGAAACAGAAATTGACGTGGTAGTTCTTAACTGCTACTTTCTGCATTTGTCCCCAACCACCATCCTTCCCGCCACCCCCCCGACACACCTCCTGCTTTTCTTTGACACGGTTGTCCTTCCTGTTCTAGGCCTAGGATTCTAAGACTTCTGATACTCACAATTTGTATTTTTCTTTAAATAAAAAAATGCTTTGTCGCTCTCCTTCTTGCCTTCTCACTGCTTTCCCAAATTTCTTCTCTTGGAGGTGCTATACTAACTAATCAGTGTGTGGGAATCTGGAGCCACATGGATGATAGAATTTCATTTCTTTGTAAGTCACTTCATCTTTCCTGAGAATAGGTGGGGTCTAACAATTATTGGTTGTTCCTCTGACCATCAATCTGAGGCCGTTTCCTTCCTCTTTTTTTTTTTTTGGCTACGCA